AAGCTGTTTTTGCTCTTCTCTCCTAATGGGGAGGGTAATTGGTCTGACGGGAAGAGGCGTTCTCTCACCCCCCCACCCCCGGATGCTGAGGTTGTAGAAGTGCTTGTTTGGTTCCTCACACTTCCCCTGTGATTTCACACTGCTTTCGACTGGGTAGGAACAGCTGTGGCCTTCGGGCTCAATCTTAGGTTCTGGTGTAAGAGAGATGGCAGCACAATAGCATTCGAAACCGAATAATCAGGAATGAATCCAATTCATATCTTATATTCTGTGTCAGATTCAGTTTTGATTCTGATTCTATGATTGATCTATGGTTGTTATCACCCTGGAGTCATAATAATAAGCAGGCTGACATTCTGCAACCTGGGGAGCACACCCATGAGATGTCAAGTGTTGATAGTGTGAATTTGTACCTTGATTGTTGTTGTATTTTTCTTTTTCCTTCTTTTATTTCTTCTCAATACCACTGCAGGAAAGGACTCTTGGAAAAGGTGTTTAGTGATTCATAGGAACACACCAATGTGGAATTCCTGGGCTGATAACGATAACCAATAACATTTGAGCAGTATTGAAGATAGTTTTCTCTTGGAAGGTGCTGTAGTTTCTGTGATTACCAATAGGGGTGGTACTTGAGTACTCAGTAAACTGGTCGAGGTTCCAGTTTTAAGGTACTGAAATCACTGTTTGGGTATTTGTTACGTTTTATCACAAGAAGAGTTAACCAAAAAAAAATCTAGCATGTTTCTGTGATCAGTATCACAACATGGGCTCAGGAATACTTCGTTAAACCATTGTGAATGAACACCCTGTCACTGTATCCACAAATGCAAGTTGTGACTGTACTATGCACAGCAGAAACAATATGGCAGCAACGTCCAGAAACACCGCCGTGTTCTCTGGGCTTGAGCTCATCCAAAATGGACTGAACAGGAAGTAACTGCTGCACCATTTAAAGTGGAATGGAAACCTTAAACAAGAAACTGTTGAATAAGAAGCCAACTTCAGTTTCATGTAACTATAGTGGTAAATATGTTGTGATATTAATGTTAAATAACATTACTGCATGTTTTGAAGTTGCCACCGACTCTGCTATATGACGTAAACTGAAAGTGGCAGGCAAAAAAGTTTGGCCATGAGTGAAATTAGGGACAATTTAAAATACAGGCTTCCTGGGTGGCGCAGCCATCGAAGCATTGGCCCTGTCATCAAGGGATCACAAGTTTGCTCCACAGCGATGCTACAGCCATTAGTGGTGGGGAGTCCAAGAGCACATAATTGGCCTCACTCTTAGAGTAGGATCTGTTAGCCAATGTAACAGAATTGGCAGTTAGCGTTCTCTTCCAATTGTTACCTAATAACGTTGCATTAGCAGCACTTGGAAAGGATGCAGGGGTGCTACATGTCACAGAGGAGGCACATGCTGGCCTTCATCCTCCCAGATTAATTGCATAATGTGCAACCTAGCTAGCGGGTTGGACAGTATTTAAATTGGCATGAAAAAATGGGTAAGGTGAGTGAGGGAGTGAGGGAGCGAGCGAGGGAGGAAGGGAGGGAGGGAGCGGTTGTTTTGCAAGTTTGTTTGTTTTGACCCATTTCTCTTCAATCTGAGCACTGTCATGAAGGTCTAGACTATCTGAGTTTTTTTAGTGAAAATCCACAGATGCATTATTCCACACAGACCAGCCATTAAAATCACATTACCTGACCTCCTCCGGAAAAACGAATCAAGATTCAGCCAGGCTTTAGTTGTGGTTGACATTAAATATGATGTGCCTTGAGCATAAAACAGGCTAAATCTCTAAACAGTGCTAGCTGCCTCGTATTCTTCAGTCTTCATAGTTTCCTGAATTTATTCATTTTTAAATATCTGATTGCATATAGTGCTCCAAGACAATTAATTTAAAAGCTATTTATCTGAGCCGTAGGCATTTATTTGCTCAGAAAAAATAATATTATTAGAATAAATACAAATAATATCAGTACAGTAAGTAGTAATTTTATGTATGTCAGTGTGTTCGTTTAACCCTTTCCAGACCTCTCCTCATGGCACCCCAGTATAACTTGTGGTTATCATCCAATACCTGGATTGTCTAGACCAGGGGTCAGACCCATGCAGCTCTTTTACTGCCCTGTTGTGGCTCCACAGCAGAATTAGATTTTTAGGTAAAAATAAAATAATCCTCCTTTGCAGTAAAATAAAGCTCTGCTGATCGTTCTAACACAGTTTAAACAGAAATGGTTAACGTGTAACTGCAAATTTAACCTTTAATCCTGAAGATTGGCGTGCAGACTGCTGGTCACCATAGCAATGCATTAGGTTTCTCAGTCGAATTGTCCCATTCCACCTTAAATGGTGCAGCAGTTACATTCTCAGGCACCATTTAAGGTGGTACGGTAAAATTTGAACAAGAAGCTGGCGAATGAGAAGCTGACTTCAGCCTCATAAAAAGGCGAACATTGGAGGAACTATTCTACTTTTGAGGAAAAGCCAGAGATGCGAGAAAAGTGGCGATAGCTGAGCTAAAGCTTAAAGTAGAGCAAAGTAAGTCTGTGTTATTGTTTATTATATTTTTTAGTCTCTCTGAGGACATCAGCTAGATGTATTATCAGCCAAGATGGTAAAACTTCACTAAAACGGGCATAAAATGTTGTGTGTGTTTTGTATTTTTATATTTTGTATTTGTATTTTTTGTTGTAGGTGTAGTTTTTGGTGTATTTTTTATTGTATTTATGTTTATTTGCATTTATTCTATAAATATATGGTGTTTTTACACATAAAAATTGCTGAGATAAATATTATTAAATAACATGTTTAGCTGCCTAAGAGTTCCGCACAGTACTGGATGTATTAATGAAAGCAGAGATGTCATATCCGTGTTAATCATTAACGTTGGGCTCATCAGTACAATATGCTGGATTGGATATCGGAGGGAAAAAAGAATGAATCTGATCCAATACTGTGCCAAATGTGTTCTGAAATAGCACGCAGTCCCATTGTGTGATGTGATTTTCGCTGTGTAGTTCTCCCTGTGGGGTAGTAGAGTGTTTGAGTAGTTTCAGCATGACAGGCTACTTAAGATGCTCATCTGAAGTGAATTGCTTCAATTAAAAATAACTCATTTTAAAACATAGTAGAACAAATATCTGATTGGTATCAGCAAATACTCAAGGCTTTAGTATCGGTGTGTGTATTGTATATATCTCTAACTAAAACTTCATTTTATCCTGACTGAAGTAGAGCTAAAGCCGTGAAAAACATTTTCACTCTGCAGCATCAGAGCGTGACTCGTGCGTCAGCGCAGGCGCAATCAGAAGTGGTGCACCAAGTTGGTAGTTGTAATTATCTGGATTTTCAATATCAGACTGATAATTAAATTTGCCCATTAATAGACAGGTAATGTAGAACGTATAATGTGTAATGAATAATGTATGGCCACCAATACATTGTGCATCTCTAATAATTCGGCTTTCAGAGGTTTTGTCTAATGAAGCCATCTGAAGTGAGGCAGTATTCCTGAACACATTAGACATCAAAGTGCACATGATCAGAATTTGTAGCATCTTTGAAAAGTGTTCATTGCATGTTATGAATAACTATGTGGGGGCGTATGTGCATGTGAGCGTGTGCAGCCGTGAATACAAATCTGAGTGAATGTGAATGTGCTCATGCTTGTGTGCTCATGCAGTAAATTAGTGTATGTAGGTTCCATTTTCAACACCCCGTCCTCCTCTCTCTGTTTCTCTCTCTATTTCTCTCTCTATCTTTCTCTCCCTCTCTCTGTTTCACTCTCTCTTTGTCTCTCTCTCTCTCCCTGTCTGTCTTTCTTGTGCTCTCTCTCACTCACTCTTCTCTCTCTTTCTCTCTCTTTCTCTCTCTTTGTCTGTCTCTCTCTCCCTTGCTCTGTTTCACTCTCTCCTTGTCTCTCGTACTTGTCCTCTTTCTCTCGCTCTCACTCTCTCTCTCTCTCTCTCTCTCTCTCTCTCTGTCTGTCTTTCTCATGCTCTCACTCTCACGTACTCTTTCTTTTCCTCTTTCCATCTCTGTATCCCTCTCTGTTCCATTCTCTCCTTGTCTCTCTCTCTCGCCTTTATCTCTCTTTGTCTGTCTTTCTCATGCTTTCGCTCATTCTTCTCTCTCTCTCTGTCTCCCTCTTTCTCACGCACTCTCTTGCTCAGTTTTACTCTCGCTCTCACTCCCTGTCTGTATCTCTCTCTTACCTTTTTTCTATCTTTCTCCCTCTCTCTGTTTCACTCTCCTTCTCTCTCTCTCTCTCACTCACACTTGTGTTCTTTCTCTCTTTCTGTCTCTCTCTTTTGCTTTTTCTCTCTTTCCACATTCATCTTGCTATCTCTTCTTTTACTCTCTCTCTCTCTCTCTCTCTCTCTCTCTCTCTCTCTCTCTCTCTCTCTCTCTCTCTCCCTCTCTCCCTGCCTGCTTTATTGGCATGACCATATCAAGTATGGTATTGCCAAAGCATAATAACAGCAACAGTCATATCATTAACAACAACAATATGGCACTACTACTATCACTAATGATAACAACAACAATAAGAATAATCATAAAAATAATAATTGTAATAATAATTCTTCTTATTATTATATTTTGGGGAGTGTTGAGACTGTTAGCCTCACTGTCTCTCACTGCCCACCCCTTCACTCCGTCCCTCCCTCCTCCTCTTTCTCCCTCCCTATCTCTCGCTCGCTCTCTCTCAGCTTTATTGGCATGTCTGTGTCAAGTACAGTACTGCCAAAGCACAACAACAACAACATCATTCACAATAACAACAATATAACACTACTGCTGCTGCTGCTGCTGCTTATTTCTATTATTAGTAGTAGTTGTAACAATAATAGTAGTAGCAGCAGTGAACCAACTCCATATATCAAATTTTCTACATTAAAATGATCTGTGTGGGGGTAAAAGAGTGGAGAAGGTTACAAACTCTCTCTCTTTTTTCTCTCTGTCTCTATCTCTCTCTCTATCTGTCTCCTACCAGGTTGATCCCTCAGACGGTAGGCCTGCTGTACGTCGGTAACTATGACATGCCCTTTGCACAGCTGAAGGTGAGATCCCTGCTAAATCTGGCTTCACACCTATGCCAGGCTCTGGCGTCAGGCACTGGCTTCTGTCACAAAGCCACAGATGAGCTTCTGAAGCCGCCCCCCCACTTCACACTGCTGCTGTATATGTCACCTTCCCTGCCCCCATTCCTGCATTCATTACTCCTGATTCATTGTACAGCAAACATGTTCATGTCAGCATCCATATATGACCTTATGTATTTAACCACGTTACCATTCAAACGTTTGGAATCACTCACCATATTCATGCCATCTATTATTTTAAACTCATGAATAATCAAGTACATTTAAATATTCTAAAGATAACAACACAAACATTTAATTTACTATCCAAAACAACCTGTGAGGCTTTACATCTTCTTAGTTTTTAAATATAATGTTCATGATGGTAAAATAGTGGTAAATCTGAAAACAGAAAGTTTTCTTTGGGGACTGTTTTGCCTTACAACAACCTCCATGTAGCTTTCCATCATAAACATATTAAAAAAGTTTGGGCTCTAGAGTAGAACATTTCACATCAAACCACTCTGAATGACTTTGTGTATGTGTTATAAGGAGAGTTTCAGCCCTGATTGCTTTTTTAACTGAGGATAACTGACTTGCCTTCACTTATGTATCATCAGTGTCAGAACATAATGTCGTGAATCCAAAATGGCTACTTCACATGAGAAGAAAACAACGCTCTTAACTTATAATGGAAATAATTGTAAACAGTCCCCCCACCCAGCCCAAGTAACTTTTTGATCATGTCTGTTGGTCAGTTCATGACAGTTTAACATAATGCAAAGTATGACTGGAGTTTACAGACAACACAGACAAAAATTGAGATAGCAACAGCAACGATACATCCACCTATTCATCCTGTGGCAGTTTAGCTCTGCCCATTCACTGTGAAGTTATAAGAAGTGTTTCAGCTCTGAGTGCTTATTGCCTGAAGCACAGTACAGTCCCACCAATCAGAATTTCCATCTACAGTCATTTGCAAAAGTTTGAACACATACATACATACATACATACATACATACATCATCATCTAAACCACTTATCCTTCTCGGTCGCGGTGGGGTGCTGGAGCCTATCCCAGCTGTCATTGGGCGGAAGGCAGGATACACCCTGGACAGGTCGCCAGTCCATCACAGGGCAGACAGACAGACATACACATTCACACACTCACTCACACCTAGGGGCAATTTAGCACGTCCAACTGGCCTGACTGCATGTTTTTGGACTGTGGGAGGAAACCAGAGTACCCAGAGGAAACCCACGCAGACACGGGGAGAACAAGCAAACTCCACACAGAAACGACCCTGGCCGCCTGGCCAGGAATCGAACCCAGGCCCTTCTTGCTGTGAGGCGAAGTTTGAACACCTGTAGTCAAATTACAATTGTTGATTTTCAAAGTGAAATAAGGTAACACATTCTCTAGGGAACAAACTTAAATTTGGCAATTTTCTGCTAATTTTAGTGTACAATGTTCTATTTATTGTTCAGGTTAAGCATATTTGACAAGAAATAAAACAGAACGTGCCTTTTGCACAGGCCACATGTTATACTTCTTCCTCTATGTATTAAAATCGTAACATTAAAAATGATTACTCATACTAAAGGGACTAAACTAAAGGGAAATGTACAGAGGAAAAAATATGTTTTCTCTGGGGAATATTTTGCCTTACAGCAACTTTCATGTACCTTTCCACCATGAGCATATTAAAGATGTATGTTTTGCAGGTCAAAAGCCACATTTTATGTTTCTTTTTCTATATGTTAAAATATGCTCATGGTGCAAAGGTACATGGAGGTTGCTGTAAGGCAAAGTAGTCCCCAAAGAAAACATACTTTTTCAGACCTCTGCAAGTTTAAATTTATTTACTGTTCATTTGCTGATTTTAACATACAGAGGTTTAAACATAAAATAAACAGGAATTAAATTAAAATGTGCAGATGTCTGAAAAATATGTTTTCTTTGGGGACTATTTCCACTATGAGCATATTAACAAAAATGTATGTTTTGCACAGGCCATATTTTATGTTTTTTCCTCTATATGTTAAAATGGTGGAAAGGTACATGGAGGTTGCTGCAAAGCAAAACAGACATCAGCACATTTTAATTTAATCACTGTTTATTTGCTGATTTTAACACAGGAATAAATATAAAATAAACAGTAATTTACATGTGCAGAGGTGTGTTCTCTGAAGAGGAGGTGTTAACTTATTTTCACTTAGACAATAAACAGAACATGTCTTTTGATCAGGAGCACCCAAACATTTGCATACAACTGTATCAGTTTTACGAGCACCATAAAAAACAGCCTGTTAAAATTGTAAAGGATAAAGAGAGGTTTAAAATGGTCACTTAAAGATGAATTTTGACCATTTTTTGTTGCAACAAAGCACACAAATTTGTAGAAAAGTGGACATCAAGGGAAAAAATAAAGGGCAGGAAAATGTAGGATATGGGTCCATGATTTAGGTATGCAAAAAATTTTGAAATTGAATTGATGGAATTGCCCTTTAATCTTATTGTGAGAGAGTAGTACGAATGTCACGTCGTAATTATAATCATTTTATGCCTATATCTGCAACGAAATTGTTTCAGTGTCATTGAAAACACTGCAACTTTTGGAGGGCTGTATGTGTGTTTCTGTACTGTAATTTTTGAACACCGCCTATTTTTGTTTTGAATGAGGCTCGAGGGAGCTGTCAAATTTCCACCCTTCCTTTCTCTCTCTCTCTCTCTCTCTCTCTCTCCCTCACACTCACACACTCTATATGATGACTCACTGATCTCTCTGACGAGCGTGTGTGTATCCAGCCCTCTCGCTGCGTTTGCCGTTCCCTGGCAGCCCCACAAAGTTAACACGGCCCACTCATCCGCTCCAGAACTTTTCCTCTTCTCTCTGTTGAGAGGTGGAGGTCGACTCCGTGTGACGTCTCCATTAGGATCAAACGCTCCATCTCATTCTGCACTTCCTTATTAATCTTACACACAGAAAAACCTCCCGCTTTGTTCAGGTAGCAGCAGGGGACTTGCTGCGTGAGAAGAGCGAGGGGCTTTAATCCAAGCATGTGCATGTGTAAGAGCACTCTGCCTGCTCTGCCTGCCAGGCATTCTTTAACTGAAGCATGTATTTCAGCTTGCAGAGAAAATCTGATATGCTGCGGTCCCTTCTCCGTGTTCTTTTGTTAGTGAAAGAACATTTCTGCGGAATTACGCTGGCTGAGAAATGCACGTAATATGACCTTTTGTGGAGCAGAGCTCGGCACGCCGCAGTTAAAAATAGATCAATATTTGTTATTAACTGTTCGTTTTTAGTGTCACTGGTGTTTTTTTTTTAACCCTCTCTTATCTAATGTTTCTCCGCTGCTACATTCAGAGGCTTTGTCTTTGTACCTTTTTAAAAGGGCCCATATCATAGGAAGACATTTTTTATTTTTTTTTAATGACATAAAATAAAAAAAAGATATAAAGCCGGACAATCCAGACAAAAATCAAGACAACAGACAGACAGTATATAAAGCAAACAAATAAAGTGAAAAGAAAGGCAAGCCAAACATTACAATATAATGACAAAGAGGCAGTATATTGAACAGATAAGATAAAAATTGTATTATGTGTAAACGCGTATACACATACAAACTAGGGCTGCAACAAACGGCTGATTCGAATAATCGATTATTCGGATTGTGAATCCTTACGTTACCAAATAACTCCTGTAGCTATTGGCTTTTAAATTTATCTTCAGGTTGTTTTATGCATTTCTGCATGTAACATTCGAACATTCACTGTTGGAATAAACCTTCCTGCTAATACAAAAGATAAATAAGACTCCAACATATTTTTCCTGTCAAATTTTAGAACCAAGGATGTGCAAAGTAGCAGCAATAAAATATAACAAAACTAAACCACACAATCGGCACAACTATCGCCGCGTCCCACATACTTCTGTACTTCACACACTACACTAATGAGTGCACTTCTAATGGTATATACGCTATTTTTGCACACTATTTAGTGTGCTAGTGTGCAGTTTAGGACGGGGCTTACCGACATAAATTTATTCATCCAGTGAGCCGACAAGTTTCCTCTTCAGATGCTCCTGCATGGAGGATGTGCTCCCATGCCAGCTAAGGATGGCTTTACAAACAGCACAACTGACGTGTTATTTCTGAGTTTAGCGTTAAATGCTCCCACACTTTTAAGGATTTTGTTCTTGAGGCTGACGTTGCGCTGTTGTTAACTCTCCTGTAAGCGGTAAGCCCAAAACATTCCTAGTGAGTGTGAGAAAGACACGTAATGACGTCACTAACTAATTGACTAATAAATTAGTTGCCAACTAATTTGGTCGTCGATTTTAGATGACTAAATCGAATAATCGCTGTGCCCCCAATACAAACACGTACACACATTCAGCATCTTTGTACCAAAAAAACACAAAAGAAGGTCTTGCGTTAACGTGAATAACATCATGGCTGTGACTGGGTCGCAGGTACGAGTCGAAGGTGAGCGCTGTATTTCATGACAGCTGTTACGCAGGGCCAGGCCTACCCAGATAGATCACAGGCCTGTCCAGTCAAATGAGGAAAGAGTGTAAACAGTGGTGTGCAAAAGTTTAAGTGCCCCAATTAAATGACATAAAATAACTGAAAATAACAAACCTCTACAAAGCACACTTCTGCACATGATAAGGCACAATTAGTGTTTATTTGCTGAATTACATATATTGAGGGGGGATAAAACATGGGGAAAAGTTATAGCATATTTGATTTTAAATTTTTTTTTGTGAAATATGTTTAACTCAGCAAATAAATAGAAATTATTCAGAAAAATGCCATCTTCAAAGTTGCTCCCTGTAGAGGATGTGTTCACTTATTTTCAGTGAAAATCAACAAAACATGTCACTTGATTGAAACATTTGCATATGGCTGTTTACCGATAAGGACTTAATGCCTTAAAGCGATAGACTCTCACAGTCTTGTTGACA